TGATTCACAGAATGTATTAAGTGAAACTAATGAACATAAATTAAGACTAACTGATGCACACTAGTAAGAAAAAACTGGGTCACATTACTCCACATCAGGTATTCCTGGGTCTTCTTTAAACAGCGAGGTACCCAAAGATGCAGAGGGAAACTGCCCTCAGTCCTTTTTTTGTCATTGGAGAGTCCTTAGGGTGTTAAGTTTCATTGTACAGTACTGGGAAATGAACAAAAAGTAACCCAGAATAATAGGAGAAGGAGATATATTAGCATGTATTAATGCATGAATATTTCTTCCTGCTTTTCTATTAAAAATGAGAAGAGATGTCAGATGTATGACAGAGGGGGCAGCTGGGATGTTTTTTAAAGAAGGGGAACACTACAAATCAGGAACAATAAAGGGAGCAGGATTTCCCTGGCAACACTGCATTTCATGTTTCGAAATGACAAGTGCTGGCAGGCCTCCAGCTGTACTGCAGCAATCCTATGACAGTGATACTGTTGCAATGTGTAAATAAAATTGTTTGGAAAGTGAAATGATCTATTGTTAAACAAGAAAAACTGAAAAACTGGGGAATATAAACAAAACAGTGTGTAATTTTCCAAGCTTGACAAATTTAAGATTGTGACAGGTTGGCTTGTTATTTCGGAAATACACTAAAATCATTAACCTTATTAAGCACAGTCTCATTTTCAGTGCTTTTGAGTGACTGCGGTGGCATCCTCCAAGAAGCTGCTCTCTTCTCTTGCCTGCTCTTCCTCACAGTCTGTCCCAGAAGAGCTCCTTTCTCTCAGGAGATCACAAGAGCTGAATCCCTTTTTGTAGCTCCAAGGCCCACATCATTCAAAAGGTCAAGGCCAAGTTTCTTTTTTTCCCCTCACAAGCTCGCAGTCTTTGCAGTCCTTCTCGCTGCTGAGGGCTTATCTTCGTTGCAGCCAGGCATTGATGCTACCCCACAGTGGGCATATCCAAGCCAGCTTTAATCCAAGTGATTCAGACAGCGGCACCGGTAGCGGTGCCGTGGGATTTGAACGCTGTTGCACACCCTGGGGACTTACCTGTATTAGCTCGATGACTCTGACACCCAGACTGTTTCATCTTCACTGCCGTGCGTCCCCAGCTAGCTTGTTAGATTTTTTATGCTGCGCTTTCGTATGCCATCCCCCTTCTTGCTGGAGCGTAGCCTTACTGCCAGCCCTTCTGTACAGAGGATGGTTTAGCGGGAAGGTTTGTTTTCTTTCTTAGGTCTCCCCAAGTTAGAGTTACTACCTCCAAAGCAGGATAGTATCTTCAAATCACAATGTAATATATAAAATGTATGCGAGTTACTACCTCCAAAGCAGGATAGTATCCTCAAATCACAATGTAATATATAAAGTGTATGCATATTTAAAAGAAGTTTTTAATTGTATTCTGGTTAAGAACACTCATTAAGTAAACCCAATAATAAAGCCAAGGTAAAGCTGTAGAGCTCATTTTATGAGTATGTCCACAGAGATAGTGTTTGCTCCTCAGTAGATAAGAGTAAAGCATTAGAGGAAGAGGCTCTTTATCAAAATGGCCAGACCACCATCCCGTAAGCTGACAAAGCGGTTTCCAGCGCTGGACATTTTGTAATATGCCTGGCTACTGCCTTGCTGAAATAAACACAGACGACTTCAGTGTTTTAAGTGGTACTGGGCTCAGATTGTGGTTGTGAAATGTAAAATAAGCACCTGCTGTTGTTATTATAATTTTGCATTTTCTTGGCTATAGATATAACGATGTGGTTTTTTCCAAGGTGGTCCAGGAGGAAATCCCAATTCCTTCGAGTTTTGTGAAACTGAGTTATCTCAGCAGTCGAACACCAGGGTATAAAACTTTGCTGCGCATTATTTTGACACACACGACCATCCCTTCTGGAATGACAAAAGTCCATCTGCTAGTTGCTGTTGAAGGACGTCTGCTTCAGAAATGGTTTCCTGCTGCAGCCAATTTGGTCTACACGTTTGCCTGGAATAAGACAGATATATATGGACAGAAGGTTTCTGGTCTGGCCGAGGCTATGGGTATGTAGAATCACCTTGATGTAAGCTGAAGCGCTCACACACATCAAGCCAGGAAAATGCGGCTTATAAATTTTGTTGCTGCACGTCCATTCTTTTAAATCAAATGCCTCTTTAGCTAAAGTGACTCATATGATTTCCTAAGAACATTTATTTTCTTGTTCTTCCAATGTCATCTTCCTAATTTAATCAATTTGAAAATCCCCCTTTCCCTCGGAGAATGGTTATGTACTAACGGCATTATATTCAGCTGTCTTTGTTTTTGAATGTTACTTTGAATATGACCTTTGGTGTGTCATTGTTTCTGTCACTTTTTGGCTTTGACATTTAAAATGTCATTTCCACTTAGGGTTTACAAAATTCTAACTTTTAGGCATCCTTTCTTACTACATTTCACATCCCCAACCGTTAAAACTTCTTGATTTGTTGTTTAAAGATATACGAAAATCATCATGTGTCATAGGCTTTCTTTACCAAGCAGCACAAGCAGCTGTTCTGAGAATAGCTGCAGAAGTGCTGTCTGTGCAAATACATTTTATTTAGCCAGCCATTTTTTTCATTAATTTCATGATTTGGTTTTTAAAAGGCTTGCTATTTTTTTAATTGAATTTGGGGTTATGTTGCTTAATGGACTAATCTTATAGATACTTTCCATTAAGATTATTTACCTTACCAGCAAAGCTTAATATTGTGAATAAGCCCTATTCACTTCCTTAGCAGTTTTGTTTTGCTTTTTAAGTCAGGGGAATTATAGCAGGCTGTGAAACAAGAACAGCAAGGGCTACGTGGAGCCATCTACCTTGCAAGGAATATGCCTCATTCCGTATATGAAAATGCTGTTGAGGGGCAGCCAGAAGCTCTCTTCAAGACCTATTGTGTTGTCCATACAGGCTGCGTGCCGGCAAATGGGCCCGTGCAAAGCCAAAAGGTGCCATCCAGGCTATGGAAGCCCTGCAACTCCCAGAGCATTTAGTGCGTGTTATCATGGGCTCCCAGCCAGGTAGTCTGTGAGGCAGCTGCATGGAGAGGCGATGGGAGAAAGGAGGATTCTAGCACTGTCCTAGTCATTTCTACTCAGAGGATGATGCAGACATAGCCATTGGTGTCCACAAAGGGTTATGAGACCAAAATACGGAGTATGATTTACGTCATGCGATGCACATAGGAATGTATCAGAAAACAAGGAGCTTATGCCAGGGCTGTGGTCCCACAGTCTACTTCAACAGATACAACTGCAGGCTGCTGCCAGAAGGGACGTTCCCACGTTCTCTCCTTACCCCTGGGCCACCACTCACATTCATTTGATCATGAAATGAGCCAGATCAGGAACAAAATCAGCTGAAAACTGAAGCGACCAGAAAATAAGTGATAAATTTTCAGCTTCATTAGTTTCCTGATTTGCTATGAATGCTAGTGCAGAAGCGCAGGTCTTCTCATTCCAGCTGTAGCTCACATATTACGTTGGCCTAAAGTGATCAAAACTCCACCGTTAGTGCAAGGTGTCCTGAATTGCTGCATCATCGTATCTGCATCTGACCTACCACGACTGGCTCACATCTGCAGAAGGGAGGACAACTTTTCGAAGGGGTCGGTCAGGTGCTGGTACCGACACCAGAGAGGGCTCTGAATGACCCAGGTATGGCGCGTGGTGGGGAGCAGGCGTGCCCTTTTCGGCCCGGCTGTCTCATGAAACCTCCTTGTTAGGGGGCAAATCTAGCCCTACCCATTGCAGATATAGATTCCTGCTAGTGTTTTGCAGTGAGGGAAGGTATTACATGGGTTGTTGGCTCCACTTACACATATTTGTGCAAATCCAGAAACAAAAAAAAATTCCAGCGTGCCCTTTGGCACTCCCATGGGTGACCAGGCAGGACGAGGTGGGTCACGGGTGCCACCTGGGGCTTTCCTCAGCACGGGTACACGTGCCCTGTAGTCAGAGTTTGTCACTGCACGGTAACACTAATGTGTTTGAGAGGGAACAGTTGAGTATGCCTGCTCCCTCTGCATCGTTTAAGAGTCTTCTGGTGATCGTGAAGTCCGGTACATATCTGGACTTTAAAACAATTTAAATCAAATACGTAACATCTTATGAAATGATACTGTAGTTACAGATTCCCAAATTAGAAGTAGATAAGCGTAATATGTTTAAATATGAATAAAGCTTACGCAATAATGGTGGATAACAACTTTAAAATTATTTAACTGGTGCTTAATTTTTTTTTCTTTTCCTTAAAGTTTAGGTTAATTATGCTTCTTGCAAAATAGAAGCAAAAATCTTTATGTTTTAAGTGCATTGTTAGCATGCTTTGTTAGATTCCAATAAAGCTTTATTTAATTTGACAAACTGTAGTACTCAGGGACCTTTATCTGCATCCATTATATGAATTTTTGTCAAAATAATTTCCTCTGCCACTATATTACAATATTTAATAATGCATTCTGTTCAGTTTTCATTTTAATTAAATTAAATTGCAGCAGGTTGAAGTCCTGGAACTCAGGAATATAACCATCTGCTTTTGGTTTTACAAATACTATAAACATCTTTATTTTTCTTCAGGGCTATTGACAGCAATGATCACATAACTAGTTACAGAAAAGACAACTTTCTGAGCGTATTTTCACACACAAGTGGTTCTGTTTAAATTTGTTGGAGAAATGTTTGCTGGTGTTTGTGTAGTCCCCAAGTCCCTAACAAGAGGCCATTTTCTCTTCTCAGAGTAACAACTGAGATGATAAAGTAACATTTTTTTGTTCTGAATAAAAAAACATCATGTGGATGTTGACACACGAAACCTTGTGGTAAAGTCTATGTCCCCTTGTAATTTAACCCAGGAAAAGGAAGCATTTCAGTAAAAACCTCAATAAATGCTCCTGTATAACTCCATACATGCTCAGTCTTACTCCTGCAAGCCCTTGCATCCCACACAGCAGCATGAAGCATTCACCCTTCGGGTGTGAATATAAACCAGCGCTCAAGCAGAATAGTCTTAGGTCTTCGCTCTTTATTACTTGTTACTGCAGTAGAGTTCATTATATTTGTGGTTCGAAGAAGTAAGATGCTGATAAGTACAAATATTTCAGGAGAGGTTGAAGTAGAGATTACTGTCCTGTTTAATCGTGTCTTTTATTTCTTACCTGTATTTTGGCAACAGCCCTTAAACTGTGATGTGCTGGCACTACTAACAAATTATTGTTCCTTCTTCTAAACAGTTGTATGAAAAGAACAGGTTTTTGGTACAGATGATTTCAGTAAATCTTTTGAAATCCATTTTGAGACTGCAAAGAATTGTCCTTGCTGGCTGTTAGTGTCCAAAAAACATAGTCACTACAGTTCTTCATGCAACAAAATCTCAGTCACCTCAAAAAAGGGCTATAAATTAATTTGACCAGAAAATAACACCCCACAATGAGGGAAAGCTGACTGAGATTGTCGTTTCACTTCCAAAATCATGTTTTGCAAAACCTGCCAGTAACAAAATACTTATTTTTCAAGTGGCACTGCAGTCACTTGGTTGACTTTACAATTGTTATGCTTCGCCTTGATTACTTGATTACAAAACGATTGATAGGAAATTTTCATGGATGGTACATCAGTACCTCCAGCTAGATGTTCCAGGAGACCCTGCTTTAAGATTACACAGATATTCCTTTTCAGAGCATAGACTTCATTGATAAATATGTGTAAGTATACATAGAAACACGGTTGTAGACACACATGAAGTAAGCGTATGTCCGCGTGTCTCTCACTGATGAGAAGAGACAAAAACGCAGCTGTGCACAACAACTATGAGAGCAGGGAACAGTGAACTTTTAAAAACTCTAGAGGGTATTTGGCAGCTCAGAAACATCAGCTATAGGCAGGGAATAGCAGACACTTTACAGTTGCGCTGGTTGTGGCTGGGCTAGAGTTAATTTTCTTCACGGTAGCTGGTATGGGGCTATGGTTTGGATTTGTGCTGGAAACAGTGTTGATAACACAGGGATGTTTTCGCTACTGCTGAGCAGGGCTTACACAGAGTCAAGGCCTTTTCTGCTCCTCACCCCACCCCACCAGAGAGCAGGCTGGGGGGGCACAGGAGTTGGGAGGGGACACGGCTGGGACAGCTGACCCCAACTGACCAAAGGGCTATTCCATACCATATGACGTCATGCTCAGCATATAAAGCTGGGGGAAGAAGAAAGAAGGGGGGGGACGTTTGGAGTGATGGCGTTTGTCTTCCCAAGTCACCATTATGAGTGATGGAGCCCTGCTTTCCTGGAGATGGCTGAACACCTGCCTGCCAGTGGGAAGCAGTGACTGAATTCCTTGTTTTGCTTTGCTTGCGTGCGCAGCTTTTGCTTTCCCTATTAAAGTGTCTTTACCTCAACCCACGAGTTTTCTCACTTTTACCCTTCCGATTCTCTCCCCCATCCCAGCGGGGGGGAGCAAGCAAGCGGCTGGGTGGGGCTCAGTTGCTGGCTGGGGTTAAACCACGACAACAGTGTTAGCTACAGTCCTGGAAAACGTGCCACTGTGGATCCATTGGCACAGATTCTCAGATGATGTAAATTGTTATACCTCCCTTGACCCAGATGCCAGCATGGTACCCTACAGCTGCTGGTGAACTGTCCTGTAGGTCTGTCAAGGTTCACTCAGCCAGGCTGAGTGACTTCGTATTATAGGTCTTTACTCTTTTCAACTATACATCTCACCCAGGATGGAACGTTTTAAGTGCATGAATGGAGTAAACATGCTAACGTGTAGGTGGCAAGTGTAAGGTTGCTTCATAGGAAAAATCTGCCCTTTATCTTCTCTCTGCATTAACACCTAGAAAATAGCGTGTTCGGTTACTGAACCTTGATGGCTCATCCCAGCGCAGGATGTGGCTGTTCTGGAAGAAGCTCCATGCCCACAGTTGGGCACTCAGCCCAGGGAGTTACCCACAAACATTGTCAGTCATCAGAGCTCCTGTAACAGAAAAATGGGACAGAGTGGCTGCTGGACCCTCAGACTGAAACCTATAATGTTTGAAACATACAATATTTACAGTACTTAAGGAGATATGATTTTTACAAGTCAGAGTTTAGCTGCAAAAAACAGATTCTTTCTGCTAAAATGATGAAGCAGCTCTAAGTGAAGTTGCTGTAAGGAACAGCTTTCAATTTGCCATGAAACATTTATCTTACAAACACAAATGCTCCCTGCTATAGCTGGTCAAAATATTTTCATTGCATCCAGTAATGGAATTTAGATGGTATTAAAACTATTTATGGTTCAAGTAAAATATACCTAAAGCTGCAACATAGAAAAAGTGAGAAGAAAATAATTGAAAATGTCAGAAAACCCTTTTTTAAATTTTTTTTTTTTATTTTGTATACTAAAATATTTTTAAAGACATTTTTTATTTTGGAAAGGCTGAATTATCTCAATATTTCCTAGATCAAATTTGGGGATTTGGTGTGAAAATAACATTCTTCCTTTATGAATAAGTTGCACTGAAATCTAAAAAGGTTAACTAGAGGAGATAAATAACTTTAAAAAAAAAAAGTTGGTATACTAGAGATAGATACCAAAATTAAATTTTGAAGAGTGTTTTTTTTTTTTTACTGAAGTACTAAAGGGGAGGTTTTTTGGTCAGTTTGCACACCCCCAAAACCCACCATCCTTAGGGAAATTCAAGATTTTCAGTAGGTATTTTGGCCAGCTGTAGAGGGGGGCCATGTGATGTGCAAGCCTGTTAAGATAAATACTTAATTCTAGAAATGTTCAGCTTGGCAATCCATTTCTGCCTAACTACAGTTTTTACAATTAGCAAACAAATTAAAACCAGTTTGTTTTAACATGGATTTTTTTCTATTTAAGCTGTTATTCAGGTAATTAGCAGAAATGCAGTAAACAAACAAGTCAGGAGTCACCGGGGGAGATTTATACTCCTAGGAAATCCATAACTGATACAACAGAAAATTTTCTGCTTTGAAACAGTAGTAACTATAGCTGTAATAACATACTAATCTCTTAAAACCCTTTTTTAAAAAAAAACACCATTCAACAATAGCAATCAGGCAGAGGAAAATTAGCGGCATCATTACTTGACAGATGAATATCAAAACTGGAATGAAAAATTACCTAGTAGTTCACAGAGGAAAAGGTAGGCTGATAGATATTTAATTATTTGTTTGCAGTGTCGGTGGGATATGAATATGAAACATGTCCTGATTTTATTCTGTGGGAGAAGAGAACAGTAATCCTTCAAGGCTTTGAAATGGATGCTTCAAATCTGGGAGGCTGGTCTATAAACAAACACCATGTATTAAATCCACAAAGTGGTAAGTCCTTCCTTTATTAACTGGCCATGCAGAAGAAGAATACAAATTTTAAAGGAATTAATTGTTCAGATTTTAAGCATTACACTTCCTAATGTGTAATCCTCTTTGTTTGAATGTGCACCCTCATTTATTGAGAACTGAACTGTAAATGCCATCTGAAAGGATATTTTTAATGTTCTGGCTCCAAGGTATTAAACACCAATATCACTAACTCTTGTGATCGCTAACACATTTCGGTCATTTGGATGGAAAAAGGGCATACTAATTTAGGTTCGTTCTCACACTGTTGGCGTAGAAGTACCACCTTTTAGGTCAGTTTATGGTGTGCTCTATTCTCAGTGAAGTGTCTACACCCCTAACTCATCCTATGACTAACATCGGGTGGTAGCATCACAGCACCAGGGAGACAACCGTGCAGGAAAACAGACCGGCTGAGTGAGAGGTAGCACTTCCAAAACCACGCTACCAGTCCGCTATGCAGAAGCTTTTGTGGCTGCCCACTCTGTGGAGAAGCACAGTAAGGTACTCTTAAGGACAAGCAATATGGCACCTTTCGAAGCATTAGGAAAAAAAACCTGTAAATGCTTTTGGTGTCATAACATTAACCCTGCATAGAGATTCTTCAAGCATGGAGACTTGAATCTGTCTCATTGCTCTTATTTTATTCCCGGGGGTTTTTCTTTTCCTCCCTTAACATCTATAATTGGGAATTAGTGGGATTAAATTATTAAAACAATACTTGTAGATAAATTATGGTAACTAGAAAAATATGGTTTTGCCAATACACAGAAATCTCACTGGCCAGGGGAAGAGAAGCTTGGGGTCAGATTTCAGCACTTATAAATCAACAGAGTGTTGGATTCAGTAAAGTTCTCTCGATTTGCTCCAGCTGAGAGTCTGTCCACTAAAAATCTATTTCCATCTACAAACTTCTGTAATGAAGATTCATGCACAGATGTATGGCTGTCAGGTTTTTACAAGTTCTATTGTTGAATGTGCAACTACGGTATAAATATTCCAAATACAAAAGGTCAGATTTAGTTTGTAAATTATCTGGATTTCTGTTTTGATTTAAAATAGTTTGACATTTTAAACAGCAGTTCTTTCATACCCTGTCTTACTGGTTTGTATAGATTGTCTCTTTTAAATGCCAGCTATTGACATTTAACACAAAGAGAAATCTGACCTCAGTCAGCTCAGCCCCCAACTGTGAGCCCCATAGTCTACTCCTTAGTGCCAATTTACCACTTGCATAGTTTAATTTCAAGACTAAATTGCTGGCAGTAACTCCAATTTATATGACTATCTGCTAACTGCAGTGGTTACTACTATAATTCACCCCATAGGCACTAACATGTTCTGAGATTTTGTGAAGTGTACAATTATAATCTGAGCGGGGTTAAATCATTGCTTTCCTGAGCACCGGGAGTGTGGTGACAAATTGCTTCCTGGCCCCATCTCAATGCCGGAGAGCACCTACCTGTCAGCCACCCGCCACCTCCTCTGAAATCATCCAGGCTGCGCCCGCTACCCCAAGCCAGTAACAAGGATGGGGAACACGCAGCTTCTTATACCTGCTCCTCTTCCTCGCATGGTCCCGCTGTGCTGGGCATGATAAAGGCTGAAGTCAGGGGGAAAGCTGCTAAACATCTGTATCCCATTACTTACAGAGACACAATCCGGGGAGAGGAGGGCATAAGCATGTCTGCCTTGAAATCAGTGGGTCTCTTCTGCTCACAGTTTGCATGTGAGATCATCTCCAGTGAGGATGACTAAGCCCAGCCAGAGCTCAGTGATGTCTCAGATGTTCCTTGTGATTATAACGGGCTTTGAGCATGCACACCTGGCTCATATATAAGAACTAGAAAAGCAGTTAGGAGCAGAAAAACAATGACTATACCATAGCCAGTGCACACTTAACAGAGCAGCCTGTAGGCTCGTGTTAAAGCAACAAAAACAAATAATGAACTGTGTTAACCAAAAGGATAAAAATAATGTCTAGTCTAAAAATAAATTTCTAGTCTTATCTAGAAACTAGTGAACTGCTTTTCCATTTCAGATGTATAAAATGTACTTTAAATAAGGACAAGAATGTGATTCAAACTTAGAATTATGCATTTCAGACTTATCTCCATGCCACCGTGAGTGAAATGAAAACCACGAGTAGCCTTCTCGAGTATGAATATACTGAGATTTTTCACTTTTAATTAAAGCATTCCCTCTGTATGTGTGAAGAGCTGCTCCTTTTAGAAGCATGAAACTTGCATCTGTTCTTGAAACAGTGTCCCTGGATTAGCTACAGAAATAGCATTGGAATACATTTATGTCTTTCTAAAAATTCTCTGTTGCAAATTTCAATTTTGTTTTCAAACTAAAACTAGAAGCACTTTGCTTGGTTAGTTAAGTAGTCCTGAAGAGCTTATATCTAACTTCAGCCAGTAAGCCTTGTCTTCGAGCCGGTCTGCTGCTGTGCACAACGTTCCTACTCAGGGACAGGGCGGATATGCTTACCTCCCTCCCCATAAAGGCGATTCATTTTAGAGATGGTACAAAATAAACTAAGTACAACAGAGAAGTTGTAAAAATAAATAGTCGCAATTTTACAGAATTGCACTTCATAGCACAGTCTAAGCTGTGAAGGTGCAAGTATTGACATGCAGTAAACCACAGCAAGTAAAAACTGTGTTCTGTTGCCAGATGTAAGTATCTTTAAAAAAAGAAAGAAAAAAAATATGTCTGATTCCAGCGGCATAGGTGTGAAATAACATATATTGTTCCAATGTGTCACTGGAAACTCAGGCTTTTTAAATGCATACGGTTTTGCATCAATATGACTGTTAGGTTAACAAAGGATCACATCCTGTTCTCAGCTATACTAAACTGTTCTTTTCCCACTTTTTCTTCCCCTCCAGTTTAGAGGTTTGATCATTTCTAATTCATGACATGATTAGAGTTTAATGTTTTCTAACACAAAGGTTTTGGTCAGTTTGGAAGATCTTCAGGGCATGTCTCTCAATCAAGTACCATAAATACCAGCTTCTATATAGAGTCCTTTTAAAGACACCTATATCTCATGAATGCAAATGAATGTGCTATTAACCGATTTTTCAGAGTATTCTTTGAATTGGATTTTTCTGATGGGCAAGTGTATTGATTCCATTTTTATTTATCTGGGGGAAGGAGGAGTAATTTTACAGAGACTTTATGCTTTACGGTAATTTCAGCCCCAGTGCAACGCAGCACTGACTAAAATTAAAGCAGCAGCTCGAAAGCCTGAAATTAAGCACATGCTTACATTTATTGACAGCAAAACGTATTCTCCAGAGCCCTAATTATTTACTGGCATTTGTATGAGGCAGTTGAAAGATTACCTTTACATTGTTAATTTCAGACAAAGGGCAGCGTCTTCATTTAATAGTATTTTTATCCAGTGTGTAAGAGAGGACATTGCCATTAATTTTACTGGCGTAAAAGCATCCAGGATGCTTTTTTTTTTAAGCCAATGTTCAAACAAATATATGTATTCTATCCTCTATTGTTCAGAAATAAATTTTTAGAAATATAATTCCCTTCAAAATAGCTATGACAACACTCAGTAATTTCCAAGGAGAATTTTAGCTTCAGATTACCTGATAGCCACAAAAAAATAGTTTAACAGAAGTTGGTAGAGACAGTACATAAATACATTTGCCATACTTTGGGGAAACTCGGACATGTCTCAGCATGTACTTCCTGCAGTATCTAGAATATGCCCGTTTCACAGTGTAAGAGTCCTCCAGAAAGTATATTCCATTGTGTTTATTCCTTTAATTGTACCACTTTTCTGATGAAGCACGGGGCTTTCCAAGGGAAATAAGAGATTTTGGACTGTGGTCTAAAAGAATACCTGTCTTCCATTCAGAAATAGCCAAAATTATACAATAACATGTCATTTTAAAGGTACTTCTTAACTATATTACCAGATTATTATTTAAAATAAGCAGTACAGCTATCAGCTTGATAAAATACACGTTTGTACTGGTTCTGGTATCACCAAGCTAGTCACTGGGAAGACTTTCAACAATGTATGCTGCAGAGCAGTGCTAAAATACTGACACACTGGAAAGTTGTTTTAAACTTTATAGCAGAACTTAATATATTCTTGCTGGTAAGAAATTTACTTGTGCCTCAGAATTACTCCTTGATTCTTAACTTGGCTTTGCTGCACTTGGCACCATTTTTATATACCATGCAGGACTCGCATTTAAATTTGAATATTGATTTTGTACTGCCACTCAGTGCTCTTTTGTGAAAAATGCATAGTAGTGCTGCTATTAATCTCCTTTAATTAAATATTCAAACTGCCTAAGAAATTCCTCTGCTACCTAATAAAAATTTATGAATAAAATGAATATTAAAGTAGTAATCCCCTAGAAATCAGATAACACTGCAATTAACAGTCAATTTGTTAGAGCATTAACCAACCATGAGTTCTGCTCATGATGTTGGCTTTTAAAAGAGCCGCTAACCACTAATTGACAAAATGGTGATGGTGAAGCTTGGGACTGAACAAAATTGGAAGAGGTTAGTGGAACCCTGTGACAGTTTTTAAAAGATCCAATGTTTGTTGCTGTTTTGGTAATCTGATTTTGTAGAGGACTGCATAACCCAAAACTGTGGAATAGTTTAAATGCTATACATTTGCTTTTTTTGTGTCTGTTTTCTGCCCCCCCTCCCCCCTCCCCCCCCTTAGGAATTGTACACAAAGGAAATGGTGAAAACATGTTCATTTCCCAGCAGCCGCCAGTCATCTCAACCGTGATGGGCAACGGACACCAGAGAAGTGTCTCTTGCTCCAACTGCAACAGTCTTGCGCTCAACAGCAAACTCTTTGCCCCGGTTGCTCTTGCTTCTGGGCCTGATGGTAGTGTGTATATTGGTGACTTCAATTTTGTCAGACGGATCTTTCCCTCTGGAAACTCAATTGGCATATTAGAATTAAGGTAAAAAAATAATTAGCTTTCTCTGACTGGGTGTTCATTATTCTGGCAGTGATATGCCTGTGAAAACTGCGGTGAGCCTTTTTTCGCTTGTGACTTAAAGCAGCAGCCACATTTAGTTACCTTGTGAGCATATGTCTCATCGACTGTCGAACAAACTCATCAGAAAACTTACGCTTACTTTAAAGTCATAGGTTAAAAAGGGCATCTTAAGCGGCCTTTAGAACAGGTTTTGCTTAATTTATTTCTACAAAGTGCAGAATTAATAGAGCTAATTCTTGTTCCTGTGAGATTTTTCACACATTTTCTCAAAAGAAGTCAAAATATTCCATGAAGTGTATTTTTGAAGAAAACCCCATAATTCAATAGCAAATATGTGCAGTATCATGTCAGGTCACAGCATTATGGCTGAAGATAGACTTACCTTGTTTCAAATTAATACAATTAAATTGTTCCTCATCTGTAACAGAGGATATGACTGACTTCAAGCAGACAAGAGCAAACCTGGCATTGCAGACTGACATGTCGCAGGCTGGGCCTGTGCCACCATTAACGACTCCCCTGTAATTATGACTCCCATTCCCTTTCAGGGCCAAAGCAGAAGGCAGGAAGGATTTCGGACACTGATACACTAAATTTCTCTTACTTAACACCCATGAATCTCCAACTAGCTAGCATTGCTGGTGGTGATGTTGTGTGCTGATTGTTCACAATTGACTTGACAATGTGCAGGCAGTGGAAAGGAAGCAGTTTGAGAGAAAGAAGTAATACCGAGTAACAGGATGAACAGTGTTTTGTTATCGGAATACAGCTCTGTGAGCTGTCAGGCAAAGAACACTGTTTTATTAAGGACTAACGTTTCTTGTCTTTTTCTTCTTTTTAAACCTGAACTTACCTGTCTTACTAGGAATAGAGACACAAGACACAGGTAAGTAAAACACAGTCACAATAATATGTGAACCATGTTCAAGGAAACAGTCTTACAAAAGTCGTTTTAGAAGTCTGGATACAGAGAAACACTCTGAATTTAATAAATATAAATGTTAATCAAATTCACCATCGTTTGTAGTAAAGAAGGTTAGATTTGTTCCCTTTGAAGGGATGAAGTCACCCTCTAAAAATCAGCAAGCAGAGATGGAGAGGTTTAAAGCCAAAAGCTGCGAATGCGTTTCATAGCTATAGCCAGCCAAGGAAACTGGAGTTTTAGCAACAAAGAAATAATAAAAAAGGCTTCAGAGTCACACGAGAAAGCTGTGCTTTAGCAGTTCTAGGATACTACGAACTTTAAAATCTGCCACAGAGGGTGCACAGCAGGCCCCAGAACTGAGGACGCTGTGTCACAGCTCAGTCCTTGCTTCTCCAGCTAAAGCAAAAGCAAGTGGCTTCCCCCCTTACCAGTTAGCATTTTGGCATTGCAATGTAGGGATTTCTTTAAAAGAGTGAACGTTGTACATTAGGCTTTTGGGACAGACGGCGAGGGATTCGGTTATAACAATCCAGCTGCAGAAATGACGTTGCAAGCTAGAAAGAGATAGCAAGGCACCAAGGCACTCTGTATCCTGAGAAACAAACTTCTTAGCATTTCAGTACTTAAATGAGATAAATAAACCAGCACTAGTACAACCTAAGCTGAGAACTTCATGGCATAGTAGGAAGCGGAGTGTGGACTGAACATGTGTTTGCAGGATGAGAGTACTGGTTGGAATTGCTGGCTTTAGCCACAAGAATGCTATTGAATACTATAGATTATTTGCCAGCCTACTACAGACGATGTCACATCTCATATTTTAAAATGAAAACTTAAAAAGAAAGAATAATTCCTACTTGGTAAGTGCAAGGTTCTATTTTTTTAACTGAAGGATTGTTTCCATTTGCCTTCCTGCTAAACTGACCAGTATCTTTGTAAACTAAAGAAGAGAAGCAAATTGAACTTACTCTGTGATGCATTCAGAACATGAATCAGGTTTTAAATTCAGGAGTTTGTTTTGTAGAGTGGAATTTTTTTAATACCTGCTCACTAGTACTAGTTTCTGGAGATGAACTTAAACCTTAATTAAATCAAGTTGTGGCAATACTCAAGTACCCCATCCCTATTAATTACAGTAATAATTGCCTCTGTCAGTATTTTGTCCAAGTGAAATCTGTGGAAAATTGGAGGAAATCACTTGAAGTTAATGTAGTCTTTGAGGTTATGGGGGAGTACTCAGCAGGCCCACTGTACGCCAATCTTTTGAGGCTGTAAAGGCCATAATCATGGTGGAAATTTCTAGGATGCTCAAAGAAACGTGTAGAAGCAACAATTAAAAGGTGTCAGAGGCTCACGACAGTCCAAGCAGGAAAAGGCTTCAAAATCCAGTTCCTCAACACAACTTTTAGTCTCCAAAAGAGCAGAGGAAAAGCGTTCTTTTTACTGGGACAATGAAAATACTGTGTAAAAAGGGATAGAGTTTGGAGACCGGTAAACAGAGAAAGGCCATTGATCTTATTTTGACTGTTTAAAAACAACTTATCCCATTTGTTTTTCTTGTCATCAAGATTTTAATAAGAAATAACAAAGCTCTTGAATAACTGGTAAAAATGGAAACTAGGCTTTGAGGTTACAGGGAAAAACTTTACTACAGGATAGTAAGAACTTGTTCTGGAAAGATTAATTGTAAAACCTAGTCTACTTGATATAGATTTTAATAGGCTAATGTAAATAAACTCAGATTTAGATTTGATTGCAAACTTCTGCAAAGATAGCAAGTATTTGATGTTGTTCCACTTTTTACTAATACTCTTCAAATTTAAACATTTTAGTATGCAAGGCTGTAAGCATAAACATCAGGAGTTTTCTAACAGCAGGTCTATTAAATGGAATGACAAGGATGGCAGAAAATGCGTCTACAAGGAGAGTATATAATGACCCCTGATTCTCTGCAGTTTCTGCATGATGAACTATATGTTTATTTAACATTTAGAATTCTCCTTGCAACTTTTTCCACAGAAGTATTTCATTAAGAAGTCATCTTTTGGCTGGCCAGTCTCTTCTGAGCTTACTGCAGAGAGCACAAATGATTCTTGATATTATCAACAAACAAAATTTTATCATACTGCTGATACATAATTCGGCATTAATTGCTTTTAGCTGATCCTTTTACTCATGTTTCATCATACCACTGTCCTCTCGTTCCCTATGTTTCCTTGGACTGGGTTTCACATTGTTCCCCAACTGTGGGAATATCTCTTTCCTTATATTTCCGCCTTCTGCCTTTTACAGATGTTTATGACTAAGGTCAGCTTTAAGCTAGTCTAGCTTGTGGCCCAGTCCTCACAGATGCTGAGTAGTTTCTGTCCCTTTTTGGATGGAGAATGAGAACTGAGAGAAATTGGCCCAAGCTCTATCACATTTATCATGGTACAGCATTAGCCTTATCACTTATAAATGGAAATAAGATTTCAGCTGATCATCTGTTAGAAGTTTCTTAGTAGTATATAGAGTACTCAGTAGATTGCTAAAATAAAAGATATTGGTAGGTAGTTTTTACGTTGTTTTGCCACGTTGCTCAGTGAGGTAGAACTGTCCAATAGATGATTCATAAAGCTTAGTATCTGCCTCAGCCAAACAAAAACTTCATATTTAAAGAGGCTCCAACAACCTGAAATCGAATCAGTAAAATAAGTCAGTATCATCTCAGACATTACATATCTGTCCTGGAGCTTCTGCCAGTTCTTCAGTTCTATTTTATCTAGATTATTCCTTTCCTGGTTTGTTGTGGCTTGAAAACCCGGCCCTGCAGAAGGAGCTATACGCTGAGCGTTGTCAAACCCACCACAAACAGAACTGACAAAGCTGAGAGGAGTAACTCATTTCCCAACTTTGTTGCAGTAATCTTAAGTGTTAGTTAATTGTACCAATGTTAATAAAATGTCTCTTTAACAAAAAAAAAAAAAAAATTTGACAATTTTTTTAATCTGCAGAAAGTCCCGTGTAGAGTTACAGGGGATGCGGGCAGGTCAGTGTCAGAAACCTCCTCCTCCCCCCGGAGAAACATGGCAGTGGTAAAAATACTGTCTGAGCACCAAAACATGCTACCAGGCATTGGCCACCACTCTGCCTGTGCCTGTCTCCCACCATTTCAGTAACCAACTGTGTGATTTAAAGGATCTACACCTATCTGGATTTTGATTTTATTTTATAATGGGGACTACACTGCAGTCGCACCAGGCATAGTGTGCCATGTGCTTAGACAGTTTCCTCAAACTGGAAATTAACTTTCCAGTCAAAAAGAAACAAAAAGGCTTACTGGTTAATAAGATGCAGCCCAGTTCTCCAATTAGAATTTATGATCTTCACCATTTAATTAACATATGTAAATATTTTTAAATAACATTTTATGATCTCAATAAGGCACTTCAGTGCATGAATTACAGTGCATTAATTCATGCCTAGTTGCACTGACAGTACTTGGCCTTCTGCCTTGCTCCTGACAATATAGTCGGCATGAATTAAGGCACCATATTTCACACCTTCATATTTCCTAAGGTTTAGAAACAGATGAAAATAACCAAGAGTGGGTATTTGTGCCCGTGCAGAGCAGTCTGTGATTCACTTCGCTGCTAGTCGTAGATTTGTTTTCAGTGCCAAGAGTACTAGGGCTTAGCAGGCATAGAAAAACGACCTTGCTTTTGATAATAATAATTATAACTAAGCTGAAGACACTGCAGTTAGCTTTAAACTGGGTGGCTTGGTACTAATGGACAGACTAACTCCACCAATACCACTCTCCGCATAAGCTCGCTACCTGGTACGTAGCTGGCTGGTCAGGCTCTGCAGCTAGTACTAGTTCCTTCCTTCTCAGCAGTGGTGCTTGCATGAGCTACATTAAAGCTGTTCTCACTTACGCCTCTGTCATCTCCAAATCATTGAACAGATGTCTTCAGAAGTGTTATGCTACCATGAACAGAGATTAAAAAGAGAAAACAATTTAACTTTGATGCTCTTCTCTTCTGTTTTAGTACAAGCCCTGCACATAAATATTACTTGGCCATTGATCCAGTGTCAGAATCCCTTTACTTGTCAGATACCAACACCAGAAAAGTCTACAAAGCAAAATCTCTCATTGAAACAAAGGATCTGGCCAAAAATGCAGACGTGGTGGCAGGAACAGGTGATCAGTGCCTTCCGTTTGACCAGAGTCACTGTGGAGACGGCGGGAAGGCATCCGAGGCATCTCTCAACAGTCCAAGAGGTAAGAAAAGAGCATATCTGAAGTACTTGGTGTTAGTCATCTGTCATTTCCTTCCATTATTTAGAAACTCAGATGCAACTGGATGTACAGAAATGGGTCTGAGGTGATGATTTAACCAACTATAAGCAAGCCAAATAATTTCATAAAGCTCATTCCTGTTTTTAATACAACCAGTTTTTTATGAGGGAGTAGCGTGAGCAGCAGGCTCCAGCTAGCGTCCTCTGAAATACGCTTTCCTTGTGTGGCAGCACTCCTCTTTCATTACCTTTCTATAGCAAGGTGGCAGCATTTAATTATATTTAACTTTTAAGCAAATAATATGGTTGCAAAGTCATTTTTTTTGTATTTTATGCATTCAGGTGATTCTTGTAATGTTAATGGAGTTTACTCATACACATTAAGTCAGGGCTGTTCAAATCAGCCAACAAAATCAAGTTTATTTGGAACTCTAGTTTGTCTTTCCTCGTTACATGCACTCTGCAAAATATGAGCATCTCACCTACTGCACGTGAAATAAGCATTTTGCTGCAGCCCTCCTGTCAGAGTACATCCTGCATTGTCACAGCCAAAATGCGTGTGAAGCCTTGAATCCCCACCAGCGCCACAATTAATCCCCTTGCAGTGTGCATTAGAACTGTGATAAAGTCTCTGGATTTGGTGCTCTAAAGCAGGTGAGCACCCTCAATTCCCACTGAAATCCCAGGAACAAAGGGTACTCAGCAGCTCCCGTGGCAGAGCCCTGAGGGGGCTTTTAGCATGCTCCCCCTCTAGCACACCGCTCCCTCCTAATGACTAGCTCTAAGGAAGGGTTTTGGTTATTTTTTGTGAACTAATAAGGGAAGGCTGTATATCAGTAGGAAATTAGAATGTATATCCGGGCAGAAACGTCTCTAAGACAAGCAAATAATCCTGGTTTAAGGCTTAGCAAGAGACACATTGTAATTATAGAGTGACTTTAACATGTCTTTAATGATAGAAGGTAAGTGTGAGGTAAGTACAAATAAATGTTAATCTTCAGGCAGCTAATTAATGTAATGAATCAATTCTAAAAATAGTAGAAAACAAAGGTTTTTAGATCCTTTAGCAGGAAAATGATCAATGTTTTATTGCTGATTACAACTGGTTATATCTAATTACAATGCAATTAGTTGTTCCATCTTATTTTCTTATTGGGGAAGTATGTTGGTGAAAATTTGTAATACGCTATTTGCTTTAAAAATACCCGTGCACAGCTGGCTTCCTTAACAGAAGGTCATAAAGAAATTAAGACGAATAAAAGTACAATTCATGAGTTCTGGGGCAGCCAGCAAATATTAAAAAATTAACTGTTAGCAGGCAATGGCTATACATATTGGCAAATTCAGGTCATGGCTCCCAGCTGCTTTTGATTTATGCATCTAGTCTAAATTACATCAGTTTGAAACTGTCAGACTTGTTATGTTTTGGGTTTGGGATTTTAATCTCAAGGGACTATGGACTGCCACATTCCCTTTTTGTACAGGGCCTAACAAAATGCAGCATCAACCTGTAGTCACCAGCACAGTATGAACAATTAGCTGTGTATTATCATAATGACCTTATAAATGCATGTCCTTGTTTTCCTCTAAACTGTAAGAGGTTGAATAACCTTGGAAAGTAGTAGGAAGTACTTGCCTGGTACCCATAGATCAATTATTTATTAAGAAACCTAAAAGTCTCACATACTTAAATACAGTTTTAGAGATTCTTTTGGATCACTTATTTTGCTTGTTATTGGAATAATTGTCAAGTCAGAAGACGTCACATTTCTACTGAAATAACATCAGAAAATATTTCTTCTAGGAGGCAGGAAACACGGACAAAAAATTTATCCATGTTTAAAAATACTTGCACACAAAGCAACACGATGTTATGTATTTGACCACAGAAATAAATGAATTGCTTTTAATTTCTCATCTCTGAGATTTTTACAGTGCAAAAATAGGTACCTGATAAGGCAGATAAAGACAGAGTAATTGCCAAGAGATTATTAAATATAACCACTTGCATTACTCAATGGCCAGACAAGATTAGCATTTATTTTTTAAGCTGATATAGAAAGATTTTTGGCTTTTTTTTTTCCCATTTGCCTTCTTATTTTTGTCCTGCGTATTCCTTTTTTTCCTGTTATAAATGAAAAATAAATTTACCTCTCACTTGGTAGAAGGGTAATATCTAGGAACTTGTTTAGTGGCTGTCTGACCTTGGTTAGTTACAGCTCAAAAGTTGCATTCTCATTTTTGCTACCGGCTGCTTGTGACTCTGAATAAGGGCTTATCTATGACTCAGTTGATCCATTTGCAAAATTCATAAGAAATACCTACTGTGTAACACTTGTGAAACTTAATCCTGTTTGGTAACATCCTCAGAAGTATGTTAATAAGTGGAAATTCAAATACTCTTTCTTTCTTACTTTTCTGAATGAAAGTTGCTTCAAATGCTGTTTTAACTTTTTTGAACTCAAAACGATTTTTCTACTTCAGTGGGCATGCAGGTAGGTTTTGGGAGAGTCCCAGATTTTTATTTAATGTTTTAGGTCTTTCATCAACTTATATTTCTCATTACCTTTATTTGGCAAGACTGCCTTTGCCTAGTGACCAGGAATTAAATTCCAGACAGGAAAACATCATGAAGTCACACTAATCAATTATGATTTGATCTGCTTTCCACAGCTTTTATTTTGCAGTTAGCAAACACACATAGCTTTGTTCAGTCTGTTCTCACTTCTCTGTGAAGGACTAGAGATGGGGCTCAGTGAACATTAATCTTGCACTATTGTATGTTGAGCTGACTTTGAAAGATGCTTTTAAACATGCATGGGTGATGTAGTTGAAATTTGAACTTCAATATATTATTTTTACTGCAACTTTCTTTAATTCTGTAGAGATCTCAGACTAATGAGTCATGTAATAGATGACCAGGTACTTAAGCAGAATGTGAAATGATACAAGGTGGGGACATAAAGTAAGATCAGTGACAAGCTGAACACATTTATTACACAAGAAGATATTGAAAATGAAGAAGTAACTACGCAAGATATTAATCATTGACTGAATTCCAATCACTTAAACTTTACCAAGTAACAGATTTTAATTTTGGGGTGGGGAATTCTGTTTGGGGTTTGGGGATTTTTTGATAAAAAGTATTTATGGCACATCTAGTCACCAACACTAGCATTTAAACAATCTGGATTAGTATTTATAATAAGGCGCTAAGGGATAGTGTCCTGATTTTAACTAGATTAGTCACCGAGTATTGGAGCAGTAAAAAGCACTAAAATTAATAGAAATACCTGGGAGTTGTTCTACTTAGCACTGCAAAGCCAATGCCTGGATCAAAGACATTAAACACTTACCTAGCCTGCCCTTCTGAAATCAGTGGGTTTTAGACATGTAAATAGATTTGACTTTCCAAGCTTAATTGACAGAGGCAGTGAGAGGCTGAGAGAGTTACCACATTTTTGCTGAGCTACAGTGTTTCCCAGTCAGCATACTAAATGTCTTAGATTAATACCTGATTTCAATTACCTTGTATTTGTGACTGCCTTAGAGCATTCACACAGGACAGCTGTGGTGGAAACACAAACTAAGTAACTTTTGTGAAAACAGTAAGTCCCTCCAATGGTTGAACCCTAAGTGTCAGAAGTGATTTACAACATTTGGAAGCCCAAGCACTAAATCCAAAGATTTAAGCATCTAAGGTCCTGCAGTGTCTGCTTTTTGACTCCTGGGTCCAGACCAGTTTCTAGAACTAGAAGATAGATGCACACACTGTCTGCGCAAGCTGTGTGTACGGTCAATGCCTCAAGAAATTAAAAACTGCACACTGAGTACAGAGTATTTGGATGCAGTGCAGTGACCTCACTACAGATGCAGCGACCTCAAAGTAAGCACGAGGGAAATGTAGAAGGTTGGAGTGAGTTCTAAATCCCACGCATAAAAACACCTTATACACAGCTGTAGCAAAGAACCTTTTTCACTCAGACCCATGGCCATGAACTAGCAACACAAATGAAAATTTAAATTAAAAATCGGTTCTGCAGTGTAGTTTTATTCATTTTGCTTGAAATTACTAAGGAAATACTACTAAAAAAAAAAACATGGTTTTGAAAATGTGTTTGCCCCAGTAGCTTACATCCTGAAATAATCAGTCTTGTTGCTCACCATCTGCAGCAATACTTTCTAAAGTAAATAAAGCTGTAAGAACAACTGCTCAGATTAAACCTTTACGTTTGTCAAATGACAGTAGCCTGTTTAGGGCCTGCTTCTGCTCAGCTACAAGATTCCTGTTACCTTCAGTAGGATGCAGACCAAATTCCTAATACAGCCTTTTATGAAAACAAGACCCCATGGTAAGTAATGATCATACTATTGGTCATAGGTAATGATCAATACTATTTATTCAGCAATCTTTGCTATTCTGTACATTCCTAAGACCTTTTCAACGCTTCTATATAATTCAAAAAGGAAAGCAGAATGGGATGAGGTGTTTCATTAGCAGTATATAAAGTAAGAAATAGGCAAACCAAGGAGATTTGCAGCCTCAAATCATTGTCATGTATGCCTCATAGAACCAGCATCTCATGCCATTTTTGATTCAGCAAAATTTATTCCTTATTTTTCTCTTCAGTAGTCTTAGCTACCTATGATTTCAGAAGTCTGGGAATCTTGTAGAACATTTAAGGTAAACTTTTTGGACAGCAAGTTTTCCTAAATTTCATCCAACCTTCATCTGAATGCGTAAGTTATTCACTTTTCTGCTAACCATTGTCAGCAGTAAGCATGACCCCAGTAATCATATCTCAGACTGGAAGCAGGACATTTTCATTCACAGTCAGTAGTTAGAAATGCTGTTTGCTCCAACGCTAGTGTTATGCATCTAAGGAGAACAACACTCAAGTGCAAGTACTGAAGTCGTGTTCCAGCTGACAAAGACCTGCTGAATATTTTGCCGCTAGTACTGAGACAGTAATGAAGTAAAGA